TCTTCAATTTCTTCCTCTTCAGGCTCGTCTTCGAGTTCTTTTCCATCCCACACGTCTACCCTTGTCGCACACATTGAGTGAATAGCATAATCAGGACAACGCTTGCAAGAGAAAGCTCCAAAGGTCCAATCAATATTTTTGCGACAAACTCCACATTCCCAATCTTCGTAATCGAGATAATAAGTGCGAGAAATGCGGTGTTCATGACGATTGATGTTTATAACTAGGGGCAAATAAACACAAGCTATGTGAAGCATGAAACCACATTTAAGACAAACGTAAGGATTACGGTCACCAACCATCCCACATGCATTACAAGTGAATGATACCTTTCTCGCCATGAGGGTGAATCTATGGTTGTGGCTCTTTCGCGCATAAATAGTATGCGAGGGAAGATTTCTCCAACACTTGAAATGTATGCTGAAATTACATATGGAACAATGATACATCTCATCACCAAGCTCTTCTCCACAAAAATGGCAGCTACCATAAGTATAGTTAATTGTCTCGGCCAAGACTTTCTTGAGAGGATGTCTGGAATGACATGAGAGATTGATGGTCTCAGGCCATTCAAGGCAGTCCTCATGTGCCCAAAACTCGCATCTTTCGCAGTAATATCCAACGCCAGATACGTTACCGCATCCAATGCATTTGTATGAGCTAATATCACTTTTGTGTTGTATTATTCGCAAGTGTGTGAGATGCTCCATTTCTTCGTATTCTAACCGATGATTGCAAGGAATCTTCACTCTATGATTTGGTTGGTCCATAGTAGCTTGCTCTAGGATCGGCTTTGATTTTAAAAGTAGAAAAACTGAATATCAAAAGGGGCACAAGTTTGTATTTTTGTCATACTTACTTGGTGGTAACTCATTTTTGTATTTGAAGTTAAACATGAATCATGTAACCCGTGCCCTGATACCAGGTTATACAAATATTTTAGTATTATCTTATTGGTATTACCGATAGTCATTGACCTTTACCGACACAACCAACTCAGCTTCACATGTTACAATGTAAACTACATTTTTAGTCTCATAAACACACATAGAAAGATAAAGAAATAGAAGATGAAGTTGTGTAATGGAGGGACATTTTTGTCATATATACCAAAGTACCTTTTATTTTTTCTATCAAGTCCCCCATACCTACCCCTCTTTGACAGTCTTGGAGCCTGTGTAACGTTTTAAGCATGGCGTGCTACAGCTTCAGAGGTCCAAGACGATTCTTTTTATAAAAAGATTTCTTTAGTTATCAATAAAATATACAATGAATATAATTCTATATGTTCATACCAATAGGATTTGCATACATGATTCTTAAGATGCATAACAGTTGACAAGCAAACACTTAACAATACGAAGTAACCGTTTGATTGGATATAAACAAATGTTTTATACGGTTACACACTTTGGAGACTCAAAGCAAGAATCCATATAAGTTTTGGAAACTAAGCTTCTCTTTCAAAGTCTCTGCTTGGCCTAATAAGCTAACCCCAAGAATCTCAGTCTTGGGTTCCGATCATAACTGAGAAGTGTGTCAAGAAACAGCCTAAGTCTTGTAATCAATGGTGAATGTTCTTTCCTCATCTGTTGTACTATAACGGAGAGAAACCATATTCTTGGATTTGTGCTACAGAGCTAGACGAAGGAGAAGTTTACCTAAGTTAGGTTGTGAATTCGTAAGCGTTTGGGACATCATGAACCGGGTGACCCTTCTGGTTTCGCTCGATGATCCTCCGTGCCAACGCTACTTGCTTCCCCACAACAAATACAAAAGCTTTTCCTTCTCCTCTAGCCCCTCTTGCTGTTCTTCCAACGCGTCTTACGTACTCACTCGGGTCACGTGGGAAGTCAAAGAGCACCACATGATCAACACCAGAGAAATCTATCCCACGAGAAGCTCTGCCAATGTTTTAGAAATAGGAAACAAATTATCTTTAACGTTATGGCAGTATAGCATCACGAGGCGATACTTGTAACCCAAAAATGAAATACCTATCCGTGCAAACCAAAAACAGTGAATTTTCTTCCGGATGAGATGACGTGAATTCTTTCATGTTTGTAAGCCTTGACTCTTGGTCAAGTGCTGCGTGGAAAGGTAGGACGTGCAACTGCCTTTCCTTTCTATCAAACCGCTTAAATATATTCTCAACTTTCCTGCATGTCTCAATCTGCGAATGAGATGATAGAAACTTTCTATGAGACTGAGATGTCCAAAAAGTTTTAAGACTAAACAGAAGTAAGTGGGGGGGACCATGGCACCTTATTGCAGAAGATGATAGTTTTAGCAACAGGTTCTTGTTCGACAATCTGAAGAAGTGCAGTTTTCTTGTTCTGAAAAGCAGTCTCAGGAGATTTCTCTGCATTATCATCTCCACTGCAGTCAACAAGAATCTGCATAGAGAAACTCAATATCAAAAGAAGACTACGCAGAAACCAAGTTTACAACAAAAATTCTGCTATATTGTTGTTCCCACTATATATTTCCCAATCACTTATGTTAATACCAACCTCTTCGAGATAATTGCTGACACGGTGCACGCGAGGTCCCATTACAACTTCACAGTCAGGAAAAACTTCAACAAGTTTGTTGTATATCTCAAGGGGCAAGGTTGCTGTAACAAACAGATACTGGGCAGTAACAGGGGAAGAGTTTATCAGATTTTGCAGGGCTGTCTCAAACTCCTCGTCGCCAAAGAGTATATCCACCTCATCTAAGATGGCACTGCAAGACACGTTACCAAGATTGTGCCTCGTCAATTTTCAATTTTCTCACAAAAATTAGTGAAATCGTTGAAAGATTTAAAGTACCATCTCAAATTTGACAGCCCCAAAATTCCTTCTTTCATTAGGTACGTGAAACGCCCTGGTGTTGCAATCAAAACATCAACACCTTGCTCTAAACTTTCTAGCTGGGTTCGTTGTTTGAAACCGCCCGTCACTACCATGGATCGGAACGGGACCCCAGACTTTGATATTGATCTACAGTTGGCAAGAACCTGCCAAGGATTTCATCTACATCAAACAATTTTTTCTTCTGATAAAACATTCAGGCACAAAATAAGCAATGCATCAACCTAGGAAAAGCATTCATATATAAAGAAATCAACCTGGGAGGCCAATTCTGCGGTCGGTACAAGAACAATAACACGAGGAGAACCAGAAGACGATTTGCTCTGTCCCTGAAGTTCCTCCTCTCTGACACGCTGAATAACAGGGACAAGATATGCCAGTGTCTTGCCTGATCCACTTTGGTCAGCTATGATACAACTCTTTCCATCAACAACTGGCGCAAAAGCCAGAGCCTGTGTCATAATAAACAAAAGTGGTAATATGATAACTGTCAGAACAACTGTATACATACACATGCACCTAGATGGTTTATGAAGAGAAAAAAAAGTCTCTGCACCTGAATATGTGCCGGGCGATCAAAATTCTGTTCCTGTAAAGCCTTCATCATATACTCACTACATCCAATTTCTGCAAAAGTTTTCTTGCTAAAAAAGCCAGTCTCCTTCTTAGGTTTATTCCCTCTCTCTCTCCAATCATCCATATCTCGTGCATATACAACAGAACGCCTATCGCCCCAACTCCTAGAGTTAGCAGCAGAGCCTCTTAAATATGATGAATGCGATCCTTCTCTCTCATTATCGGTGAACTTTCGAGCATTTGAAACCTCACCAGTAGCTCTATCATGTCCCTGAAATCTATCTAACTCTTTGGCAACAACACGCCTATCTTCTCCACCCCCGGAGTTAGCAGCAGAACCTTTTGAATATAAACTCCGCGATCCTGCTCTCTCATTATCAGTAAACTTTCGAGAGTTTGAAACCTCATCAACACCTCTATCACGTCCCTTAAATGTATCTAAATCTCTTGCAACCGAAAGCCTATCGCCCCTACCCCTAGAGTTATCATCATAACCTTTTGAATATGAACTCCGAGACCCTCTTTCATTATCAATAAACTTTCGAGGATTTGAAACCTCATCATCTCCTTCCAATCTATCTAAATCTCTTGGCTCTCTCGATTCCCGCACTTTGCTGAATCGTTTTACTTCCTTTGGCTCTACAGATATTCCTGATCTAGGAATAGCCTTCATAGCCAATTTCTTCCTCATCAAATCCAGAATTGATGATGAACCAAACC